AGTGATGACGAGAATGTAGGTGATACCAAGGAGAGGGATCAAGACCAGCAGAGCCTTCGTGGCTTTGCGGTACTGCTGGGTCTCGGCGTTGTTGGTCGCCCGCAACTTAGTAATCAAAACCTGCAAAGGCAGTCAGCGGCTCAGAGCTGGCACAAATGGAACCACGAACAGGGATTTCCTAACAAGAACATCTAAATCAGCCTCTAATATTTCCCTCCTACGTACGTCCAGATCTCTCGAGTTCTCTCTTTCTACCAGGATTGCCGACTAAAATTTTGTACGCATTTTGCATCTCTCCCATCCCTATCATTTGCTTATCCCTCTCACCTTTCTTGCTTTGATTGCTCTAACAATATCTAATTTGAAATACAGAACATAAGCTTAAGAGCATCATTAAACTGCGTAATCTTCTCCATCCTATTACGTCCTCCAACTTTAACGATTTTAAAAATTAAATTTTAAATTTGAGCCTGATTAAACGTCTCGCACCTCCCATTTTGTTTCGCGACTCATCCGTAATTCTCCAACACAACTCCTGCTATTCATACGAAGCGAGTGGGAGGCTGGAGAGTCTCTCAAGTCCACTAGAGTTGCAGGCGTCTGTTAACTTCGCTGCCTGCGGCATCCCTCTCAGCCTCAGAAACGAGGAAATGAGAACGAGAGGCCTTTCTGGTTTGTCATGCGTTCAAATAAAACAACAGTATTAATATACAGCAAGACTAACTTACGAAACAAATAATTCTGGTTAAAACCCCATCTATTATCGTGCTTAGTTTTCGAGCTCAGCGGAAATCGAACTCAGGAAAAAAATACAAGTTTGGTGAAAATCGATATATCTTTTCTCGAGATATAAACGAACAAACATATGAAGTCACAATTTCTACTTTATATGTTATGATTTTTAGACAAGCTTCAGCTTTAAAAGGTTAAATACCAATAAAAAGAATACTGAAAAATGACGGTGTTAGCGTGATAGTATGTTCTGTTTACTGACCCACATAATCAGGATGAGGAAGACAGAGTTGACTGCCAGGACTCCCATGGCCGGCCCTTGGTAAATCCAGTCATACGCATGGGGACTCCACCACGGGCAGTTACGCAGAATTCCAGGGTCTATGGTTGGTACCTGTGGACAGTGGGAATAGTGTGTGTCCGACAGGCAATACATAAACCGTATACTCCTACCTGTTACACACTGAGGATATTAGAGTGAACTGCCTGTTAGAAATCTTATTAACTCTCCGGAGCAGTCATTCATGACAGGATAACAGTCGATCACCTGATCAAGAAATCCTCCTTAGCACTCTGTTATCAGATACTATCAACATTTTCGATTTAGGATGACAGACCAAAATTATTAAAGCCATATAAAAGTAAGAAACAATTATAAGATAGTTGTTTCCTGGGTATCTATCATCAGCGCCCTGAAGATGGAGGCAGCAATAACATCTGAAACGAAGGTAAACTTCCACCAGACTACAAGGTGCTACAACCCAGAAGACAGAAATCTTCAGACTCACCGCTGTGAAATCTCAAATATTACTTAGGCACGATTACAGTTTTGTATAATTTACTTTTTGGTTTCTGGACTGGAAATGTAAAAAATAAAAGATTCTGAACTGAACCGTAGTAAGAATTCTCATAATTCAATCTGCTAGTAAGTGCAGAACTTACAGGGCCACACAGAACTAATTACTGTGCATTAATTTGAATTACTCTGCGATTATAGTTCAATTTGAAGCTTTAAACCTCCAATACATTTAGTATCAAGGATGAGTGACCGTCCTCTTTTCTCTTTGTTCTTTGACATGAAACTAATGAGTGGACGTGATTAGGCTTAACAGGCAGTGAGTGGTAATACATCGTAAAAGCACAGGGCAACCACAAAACAGCGTTAACTGAGCGACGGCTCAGTAGCTACATTTCATTAACTATTCTTAAGCACTTACATCATATTTCACGATACATTTAAAGTGAGGGCGTCATTGGGCAGTCGTCTCTGTCCGTCAGTTCACGTGTTTCATCTCTAGACTACTTAACAAATTTCGGATAAATTTCATAAGCGTCTGTGAAATTTAATTTCGATCTGTATCTACCTGATATAACGCAAACTTCACACGAAACTCAGATCTAACTTAAATTAATCAAAAACCGCTTTTCGTACAAAATAGACGTAAATGATGTAAAGAACGTAGCTCTAAGTAAGATGTAAAACTTTATATTTGAAATTGTTTACAATATGTGCGCCGATACTTTAAGAAATTAAACATTATAATACACAATACAGTTCTAAGCAGCTCCACCATGTGCAGAAATATCTGTGAAACTTCTTCCTTCGGGGATAAGTCGCGTCGAATCCTGCGTTTCGGCAACAACTACAGTTGCCATCTTCAGGGTGAGTGTGTACTGTGGGTTTTGGAAGTCTTATGCAGACCAGACAATAGATACCGAATTTGATGTATGGGATATGATTGGCTGAACAGAGAAACTGGTTGGTGATGAAAGAAGTGGGAAGCACAAATATTTGTTCTTCTACGTTAAGAAGTGCTACCCACAAGAGCTCTGTAAATTGTGGACAAAAAAGAAAGCGGTTTGTTACCTACGGTAAATAAACACGAGGGCTACATAATAAACTGAATTTACGCGGAATAAAAATGAATAAATCATTTCCTGCAGGGATTATTTTACGTACTGACTGCGTCAGTTGAAGAAGTTTTGAATTGACTGAAAGCAGTGAAGTAGCCTAAGAATGCATGCGGAAGGTACAGTGACATACTTCTTCCGGAGAATCTAATTAAACCTCGATCGGAATAACTACTTTCGCTGCAGAGATTTGAACCCGGGACCTCCGGTGTAAGCATCACACTGCTTATTCTGGCTAATGTGTAGAGATGAGCAGCGGGGAATTTGCTGCGAAACCGACTTACAATAGACAGATATGTCTCTGTTGAACATTATACATTGTTTCATATGTCTATAGAAATATAAATTTCTATATCAACGTCGCTTAATTCGATGCTTTCATATGAATTCCGAAGTACACAATTTCTGTTCAATCGCCATAAGCACAAAAGAAATAATCTGTTTTACACTGCAGTGTTAAACCATCAGATACGTATAGGCCGTATTTAGTGGTTTAGAATCAAATGGCTTAATTCATAAAACGTTATGAAACTTTCGAAATTCACAGAGGACTTCTTTTTTAGTTACATTAAACAAGTGGCCTATTCATAACTGCTTTTCAACAGTAAACATCTGATTTGTGGTTATTGAGGTCGGGTGTATTTACCGAATGCATTTATGCAAATGGGTCAGTATAAATGAATAAAGTAAACTGTGCCTCTAGCCGAAACTGCGACATCTTCTGCATATGATATATACAACGGAAAATCTCTGTAAATGAAAATCACACTTTTATTTCGCTGATGTGGTACGTTTGTTACAATTGGGAGACTAAAACAGGAATATGAGATTTACGTGCAGTCCCTTATCTCGTTCAAAATTCCCACTTCATGTATAGACAACCTTCGCAAATTAAGATTTGACATCACAATGTCATTCAATCAGGAACGATTATTTCCTTAAACAGAATTAACCAACTGATGTTTGTTAACAAGACGCGTTTTGGTTTGTTTGAAGAAAAATATTATTTGTAAAATATTCGGCTTCAAAGTGTTAATAACTCGAAGACTTTAACTTTTTATTTATTCGTGTTTCTGTTGTCAATAATATGCATGGGAAATAAACAGAATTGAATGAAAACTTTAATGTTCATATTAATAACACATCAACTTCACCATGGACCGGATTCTTAAACGGGTCACTGCTGGCCCCTGGATTGTGTACTCCCCATTCAAGTTCAGTACCGTTTGCCACATATTCCCAGATGCACAATTATGGCGGGTTTTCTTAAAAATTATCTTAACCCAAAAGAATTACTTCGGCACAAAAGTCAGTATACATGTTAGATATAAATATCAAGAATCGATTTAAAGAACGTTATGTCCTTTCGTCTGTCAATTGTGCTTAAAAACTTCCATTTGTTACGATCTGTGTACTGAAAGCTTTTACCATCTTTTGATACATTTCAAAGGTTCGTTAGATATATCCTTTTTTGAAAGTGAAGATAAAAGTAATTGTCCTTCATGGCAAGCAATTCTACGGACTGGATGTCTGAATACTTCTGACACACAAAGTTCCACCTTTTGTGTTTTTTCTTTTATTTTTATTATTTTCCACTCCAGACCAGGCTTCAGGGGTACGGTAATGATAACCAAATTTCAATGCATGAGTGACTTATATAAAAATATTTATTGCTAAATATTCCTTGAAACTATTCGTACTGAATTATTAAACCTCACTAAATACAGAAATTACGTACCAAGATATATTGTTTTTACTGACATACGTAGATGTACAATGAATTTACATTGTAACAGCGCGCTAATTTTAAACATAAATACCTTGACATATAGGCCAATCTTAAATTAATTAAATGAATATACAAAGAATAACCCACAGGCGCTTCAAAATTTAAGTCCCTAACTCAAGGTCAACTAAGAGTTACGTAACGAATTAATCTGAATTGGCGAATTAAACGAATCAAAATGTTCTCAAATGAAACCAACATCAGTGACAAATTCTCAGGTTTCTGATACGTTCAAAGGGCAAGAACAGAGATTAATATTTCATGTTCTCGTCCCTACGAATACCTAATCTCTTGCTCTCGACGATGAAATGAATGTGTATCGATTATTTACGAGAACAAAGATTTACTCACCGCCTTTGTACGGGTCTACTGCTTTTCTCTCAATAAAACATGGCACAAGGTTATCTGTTGTTATACTTATACGACAGCACATAATAGACTGTTTATTACATAAGACGCACAATCAATTGTTTACAAATGGACTGAGAACTTTCCAGGCTCTCAACCACAAACCAAATTAAGAGGTGTTTTAAGCGAGAAGTGTCATGCTTATCAAGTAAGTAGGTTTAAATTAGTAGTAGAGTATAAATAATTACGGGATAATGTACTCCGGGATTCATGATTAAAGTTGAAATGGGTGAACCTAAGTTTCCATCCAAAGCCATAATATTTGCAGAATAATAAAGAAAAAAGAGTAAATGTCTGCTATATTCAGCGTCTAGAAAGAAATACAAGATTTATATATCTTATCTCACGTCATTGTGTAATGTAATAAAGGATGTTTTATTTAAAACGCAACCCTAAATACGACACTTGAAAACCGATTTCAACATTGAACTCTTGCAGCTGTATCTCGTTATGCAGCTGATGACCACTTGAAATCGGTACGGCCCTAACTTCAGCTGCTTTGTCGCTCGGTGAGCGCTTATCACAGACAGGCACTTCCTGTGTCCCGAAATTTTGTTACATTTGGTGTATTAGTACATAATTTGGTACTCCCTTATCAACACTCGCGTTGCTAATCGCTTCAGGATCACCGGCAAATAATTTCGGTACTTAGCCATATTCGTACCCGCACAGATTTTGTGAAACTGAGGCAAGTAGCGGCCTAGCAACCAATACGACCTTGCCTCGAGAGTCACGGGGGAGGTTAGAGGAGTCTGTTACACGGAGTGGACCATTTTTGAACCGCAGTAAATGACTTGTTTGTTTGCGTTTTTAAATAGCAAATTCTGCGTAATAAAACCAAAAAATCGATTAAAAACACTGATACTCACTTGTGGTTCAGTTGGCGCGGGCGCAAAGCTCTTGACAATCGCCCACAAGATGACGATAAACACAGGAGCTCCTAAAACAATGAATAAACATAATAGCCTACAGATTTATTCCAAGCACAAAGAACAAACACATACTGTTCTATAAACACAAATAGACTACAACCTAAGAAAATACATCCACATTTCCTGCTAATCTGTATGCATGACACAAATTTACCATTACGTCGAATCCTAAATAAAGAAATACATAAGTTAAATGAATTTAGTCAGTTGTAGTTTCTGATTTCGTGTTTATACGCGCCGCTTTCAATTGAAAACAGTGGTCTCGAAGTTGCACGTAACTAAATATTTACACAGTACGTAAACGTGTTACTGAACAAGCCTAAAATATTTCTAGAAACAAATTAGTTTTTTTGGTTACAGACATATTTAGTTTTTACATCGATTATGGTAAAATAAATATTCCCCAGCATTACGGAGTAAGGCATGTATTTCTATAATACTATTTTATTCTTACATCCACACCGACAATAAATGTACAATTTATTACGTTTGATAAGCTAGGGTTATACATGTATGTAAAGACGTCGATGTCAATGATAATTACACAACAGAAGCAATAAATATATTCAAGTAATTCTGATCAGATAACTTTGAGTAGTCGACCAATTTATTCAGAAGTTAGCAAAACGGAGAAAAAACAAGATTTATCCCACGCGCAATATGAACATTAAACCACAATTTGCAGCAACTCATTTGTTCCGTCGAGACGATTCTGATTGTCCACCTTCACTCTAGCACAGGACTTCGTTTTGAACCTAAAGGGCATTTGGGCTTAGGAAAATATTTCAGACCCTTGTGCTGTTTCTACGAACAGGGTCCTCTAAATCAGTCCTATTCAATCTGGGGTACGCGAAGACATCTTAGGGGGTACGTGACATTTAAAAAAATATATTATTTTAAGATAAACACTGAATAATCAGTAATGTAATTTATTTAATTTATTTTAGATGTAGATTATATACTATGTATAACTTGAATTATACACCAACAACTTTGGGGGTACAAAGTTGAAGAGAAATTATATCTGGGGGTACGCGAACAAAAAAGGTTGAATACCACTGCTCTAAATAAACCCAAACTTACGCGTGCAGGGGGAGGGGGGACAAGGGCTGTAGTGTCTACACTGTAGTTATACATGTTTGCTTATGGGTGTGTCAACATGAATTATTGTCGATACGATTCAACCATTGTGTAGTAGTATGACATATTTGAAATATTAGTGGAATACACCAGTGGTTTCCAACACCGGATCAATGTAACATCAATGGGTTTTCCAAGGATAGGTATCATGTCTCGTATTGTACAGTAGAAATGCATACCGTGAATGTAATAATTACTAGCGCGAGCACAAATTAACGAGCTTGTGTGATATATCCTATTAAAATCGAAATTATGTCACGATCGCCCATGTGAGACACTGAACATTTAACACGACGGAAAATGAAAAATAATTAAGGTGTCCGTAATTTATCGTGGCTTAACAACAGACTTTGTAACAAAAGTACTTAATTATATGAACATACGCCTTTAATCGCTACAAGGAAGCAAAGATTAAGGTTGGCATTTATAAAATTTTAATCTTTTTTCCAACTGCAATAAAATGAACGTGTATAACGTTAGACCTAACCTAACCTGCACACCGTCATAAATAAGACTCGAGCCTCCAGCAATCCGCGAATTATTGTTTGAGAGACAGCAGAATAAACAATAAATGAGGACGTAACGGACGAAGTAGTTCGCTCGAAACTGGATAAACAAAAGTTCTGTTAACTTTGTCTGAAGTTCACAGAAGTTGACTACTACGTGAAACATCAGTTCTTCACAGACAATATAACTGCTAGGCTAAGAGGAACTTTGGGAATATTCTAATACATATAGACATGCATACTGGCTCTTATCCTGAGACAGTTCAATCTAGTCCACATCCTTACACATGTGACTCTCGTTATACGCGTTTTGTATATCCGCAGCCAAATCTTCTCCAGGCTTGCCAGGGAAATTGTTGCAGATTACAACCTTTGAATCAATGAGTTCTTACTCCAGTTAAACATGAAAATGGCGACTGTCATACGTTTTCCATTTAAGTTATAAACGGCTGTACCTAGAAACGCATCCCCCGTGTATTACGCGAGACACCTGTACCTAACAAGAAATGGTACATTAAACTGTAAAATATTTCCAAACTCTGTTGAGAAGAAAGCAGTCAGAGTGTGAAATCGCTATAAACTTATTTGCAATTTATTGGCATCACAAAATAACATCATGTCAACAATTTTCAGTTTCACGGAATTCCAAGGAATGATGTTACGAACTCATGTTCCCGGAAAATTCTCGTGAAATATCTAAAACGTGAGAAGACATGCTTTTAGTGTTTGCTTCTCAGGACGTCGTTGTGACTGACGCGTCGACCGGGTAGCGGAATACCTATTTCATTACTGTCAAGTCTATATACACGAAAGCGTTAACTTACGATAAGGTCAGGGCGAAAGAAAGGCAGAGGGACGCTTCGCCCTTTCACGGAAGTGGAAGGGTGTGTGACGTCACAGCGCGGGGGCAGTTCCTTCAACAACTTAGGAGGAAGATAAAGTGCTCAGCTTTTCCACCACGCTCTGATATTCTGCGAAAGTTTCGCACACGTTCATAACGGCTTATATTCCGTGCAGCTGCAGGTCACGTTAATAAGAAACATCACTTCCTGAAAAAATATCTATAAATACGTTTTATACGTGTGTAGAGACAGCAAAGCACGGTGGACAATATTCAGACATGAGAGATTTTTAAGTGAAAAGAAACAGGGCAGAACTTAATAGCTTCTAATTGACGACTCGGCTCCATGGAGTTAGTTATGCAGTAAAACTTCTCCATAAAGGAAAAATACGCAATTTCAGACAGGTTTACTTTTGTTACGTAAACTTCAAGATGGAAAATATCTTCTGGGATTTTGTACCGTGTAGTCTTGTAGAAATTTACCGACGTTTCAAAGATGCTAAGTGACTCCATCATCAGGGCGAGAGAACCGGAAATTTTCCGAGAAACGTTGGCATTATTATTAAAAATGTTCACTTACCCCAGCCAATGATAACGTAAACTCGCAGTTTTATATTTTCTCCTGTGAACGTCTCCACCACCAGCATGTAGAGATACAGGCCTGGAATTTAAAGACACGCAAGAAATGAATTCAACAGGGGGCATATTTACAAGATTTATTAATCGACAGAATCTATCAATAAAACTATAAGGTTTAGGGAATGCTACGAATGCAGTTTCCTATATTAAATATTCAGGTTCTTAATTTACTGCCCAATAAGTGTTAGTTAAGTGAATTCCATAAAAAAAAGGAGATTTGAGGTTCTAACTTTTATTTATTTACGGGCGGTATCTATCACTAAAACCTCGAAACATACTTAGAGGTTCCAGTGAAATGTCCTCAATGGATGACCACGGAGCATTCACTGGGCTGACCGGACCGGTCTACATGTGAATGTCCTCAACACAGATCAATTTCAATGCGATAAAGCCTACGAACTCGGTCTGACAAGGAAAGCAATTCAAATGGTCGAAATGGAAGGTTGACGGATGAGTAGGAAATGATGAACGGTTCTGTTCGACAATACGTCTGGACGGATCGAAAGTAATTATAAGTAGTAGTAGTCACAAAAGCCGAAATTGGTCTAACTCAAAACAAATCAAACAGCAACGATAATAGTCGATAATCGATGTGTACGTATTTATCATTCGACCAAAACTAAGTACTCTGAGGTCTGTATTGCTCAATAAATAACAAACAACATGAATGTGAGATTAAGTTTTTGTGGCCATGAAAATTTAAACCACGAGTCTTGCAGGTAGTTGCCAACATTTCGGAGGAATATATCGCCTCCATCTTCAGAGTTGAAGAAGGGAGGCTACAGTTTTCTTCAATATGTTGGTAACCACCTGCAAAACTGCACAGAGTGGTAACTGAGAAGACCGCACCCCGCAGAATTATGAAGCTTAAAACCACACGCGCGGTTCAAGGAAACCAACGCTACAGGCTTAATTAACCTGCTTACTAACAACAAACAAAGACATACACAAATACACAATCTATTTGATATCCATTTTAATATCATCCTACAATCTACTACCAAGTCTCCGAACTGTTTCATTCCCTGCAGTTCATGTTCATTTAAAATGCAGTATAGTAGACATCCAGAACGATATTTTCGAAGAATAATTTAAAAGCCACTCGTATGACGTACAACTATACATTTCTGGGATCTAGCCATGTGTGTGTCATACCGTGATATAAAGAGATTTTGTCTAGCATCTGAGCCAGAAGAATGAGATTTAAATACAGATAAAATGATCAAAAATCTCTCGAATATACATAATGAGTGTAAAAGTATGTTACAGGAAAAGTGGTTGATATTTACATTCTTTCAAAAGTTTCAATTTACGTAGTCAGACTGACAGAAACACAAACGTAATTATTAGTCGTGTTAAATTGCTCATTTGAACAGTGTCCATCGTCTAAATATTATAAAATTACAACGTTTCGGAGGCAGAATCGAAAAGCTTAAATGCCAAACGCAGAGCTAATGTTAAAACAGGTGGTACACAGCGTTACCATTAGACTTACAGCGTCAAGTATGTGCTAACTTAACACGATGAAGTACAGGAATTATTCAGGGAATTAAAATTATTTGCCAGTAAAACCATTAGAATCTTAAATTATATATCAATATAAGTGTTTATTGTAAACTACGTGTCTTGTTTCTTATTCTATTTCATTATTACCATTTGCTACTGAATTAAAATTCTTATATTATGTCTTGTCATGTTTATTCGTCAGCGTCACTTTACTTATTTGGTTAATTCCAACATTTTGGTATACGTCAGACGCGTTTTACTAATATCTTGCTTTTAAATGAGTATGAAAAGTTCAATAAAAGAAAAGAGCGAATTTCTGTTACAATATGATTACATTAATTATCTGAGACTGCGGCCTAGAATTGATTTCCGCACACAAAGAACCCACTGCTTCATCTGCGCTGCTTCCGACCTTCCATTCTCGGTGCTTTGTTTCTCTCAGTCTTCCTTCGGGCTTCCTCCATCCAATGTACGTCCTGTGCCCTCTGGGGCGCTGTTTCATCTCATCATATTCCCACACTATTCCATTCGCAATTCCCACTGCTCGTAAAACGTTACTCCGTTAAAAAAAACACATGTTTCCTCCGGAAGTGCGCTCATAATTCAAATTTCCACTCGGACCGAATTCCATAGGATACGAGGGACACGAGCAGGCTACTCAAGTAAACGTATCATGGACTTAATGCTATATGAAAAGGTGAAATTTCGGAAATTCTCTTCTTAAGGGTTCCGCAGATTGAGTTTAATTCGTAACTTCCGCCTTCGGAGTTGTACCGCGTCTTATTCCCTGTCCCATGTAAGGATTTCAAACATACCTAAGCAACATAAATGTACACTGAAGATGGCAATTGCAATGAATCTCTAAACGTTGGTCAATATTCAATATTCGACGCTATTCAATCCCTAAAACCGAAGTTACACGTTTCGAAAATTGTACGTATTTGGTACGAGGTTTATATTTGTTCTGGCGCCCAACTAGCATTATGTCCAAAGTGAAACAAGGGGCTCGTGGGGGAAGGTTCAGTGGCCGAAGCGTTTCAGAGGTCCTTGCTGCCTCCATCTTCAGGGCGATGAGTCATCGCCCTGATGATGGAGACCGGAAGGACCTCTGAAACGATGGTAAAATTCTACAACACACAAGATATATATCAACAAATAAGAAGGCTGGAGAATGCAGAAGTACGTTTCCTCAGAACAGGATACTGAATAAGGAATCGGGGTTTAAAATGCAATGAGTATCGTAGAGAAATCAGGGAATAACAGATATTACTATGGTAATAACACGCAATTAGGAGAAATGGCTAGAACATTTTGGAAAAGTGCCTGAAAACGGAATCCTGACTCAGCTTTATTAATACAAACAGAAATTCAGAAGATTCCAATAATACGTTCAACATAAATAATCAGTGTCGCCAAAAACGTCAAGAACGTATTCGATGATGATGATGATTTCTCAAAAGAAGCATACAGGATCATGAAATAATTTTGAGACCCATCCTCACAAATTATAAATTTTCATTAAGCACTTAATGAACCGTTAATGGAAAAGCTGTCAATCTGTCGCTGTAAATTGATTTAAGTGTAAAGAAAACACGATATTTCCATGTCACAGAACACAGGATGAGAAATACTGATGTAACAGATACATTTATTACATCTTCCGGAAATGAAGTTCTTCAGAAATTCCTCCGAGGTCTGGAAAGTGAAGTTGCTGCAGGT